AGCTTCCCACCCTGGGGGGGGGGGGAGGGTGGAGCCGATCTCTCTCTCTCTCTCTCTCTCTCTCTCTCTCTCCACAGGAAAGGGCTTTGTGAAGGGTGCGCGCGTGTGGTTTGGGGCTTTCTCGCGGTCTCTCTCGCGTTCTCTCCCTCTCCCTCTCTCACACTCACAAAAACAGGCATCCATCTCCCCGTTCGGAATGGTAAATGGTGCGCGCGCACCATGGCCCGCTTTTTCCGCGATATTGCACCCCTTGGGGTAGCTGTGTTTGAATTTTCAAACCGAGCGAGGGCGAGGGAGAGTGAGAGAGAGATAGAGAGAGATAGAGAGAGCGAGTGAGAGCGACAGAGAGGGAGAGAGATCCATTGGATCGTAGATGAGCTGTTCCCACACTAATAGACAAGGGCCAGGTGAGCGAGGGAAATTATGCAGATTCATCGCGATGCCGGCCGAGCACGTGACCTCCCGCCATTTTAAACAACCAAAAACGGACGCCCGGCAAGGAATCGACCTCCCAAATTCGATGCTTTCCTATTATCAGGGGGACCTGATTTTTTTGTAGAAATCTAGAAATGCAAAAAACAACAATTTTAATAGTGTTTTTATTTGAATTTAACCAGCCGTTCTAAAGTTTTAAGAACTATCCAAAAAACCCTCTAAAATACATCTAAATCCGGAATTTCTGTTCAAAAATCGTACCTATATATTTTTGTTCATGTAAAAAATGGATTTGAAGAAAAAGTTGGTCGATTCCCTGATCCCCCCCGATAAAGCAAAAGGGCCCGCAGTTCACTTTCATTCGGTTTAGATCTCAGTTTTGCACTTCGTTTTTAAGGATATTTGAAAATGCCGACAACCGAGCACTTCGTTTTCCGCAAGCTGAATTCTTCGCAAAAATCGGCCGTCTACCTGCGCCTGCAGTTTTGGGAAAAATGGCGGCTACGTCGCGCTTCGAAGGTACAGCCTCGATGATTTTTTGTCATCTTTCCTAAAATCATTTTCCCTAAGAGACGTTGTTCCCCAAAAATCATTTTTCCTAAAGCTCAGTTTTCCCAAAATTGGCTAAATATCGAAAAAGGCTCAGTGCTTTGGTATTATGCACGACAACAACTAATTTTTTTGCTAATAAACTCAGATACTACACGATTTTAAATAGGGTACAATTCTAAAAGAGGCTCCGAAGTCCGGTCCACGCCTCTCAGCGTTGATTCCTGGCATAGAGCCAGATGTGACCGCAACGCAACCGCGCCGCACAATCTTTGGCCCCAGTTTGGACGTGTAATCGCTTGAATTTAAAAATTCTGGCGCTATTTTCGGAATCCTCAGCGAATTTTGATCATCCCACGCACGAATTTTGGCTTCCAAGCCCCTTTAGGTTGACACGCAAGTTCCGGGCGTAGATTCCCCGGTTCCGCGTTTCTATAATCCCTTATTTTTAGGTGTTCAGCGCGAAATCCGCGCCCGAATTCTTGTTAGGCGGCCGCTTTAGCAGAATCTCGATCCAAGGGCGTGGCCGAGTAAGAATTAAAAAATATTTGCGGCCAAAGCAACCACTATTTAGTCTCTGGAAGAGGGCGGGAGTCTAGTACAGGTAGATGAAGTCCCAACTGGAGATAGGATATGGATAAATTTACGGAACGCGAAGCGTCCGATGGTGCTCCGCATTCGTCCTCGGTAAGTCCACGCCTAAGCCTAAGCCTACGTCTAGCCTAAATCTAGCCAAAGCCTAAGTCTAAGCCTAAGCCTAAACTTAAGTTAAGCCTAAGCTAAGCCCAAGCTAAGCCTAAGTTAAGCCTAAGTTACGCTTAAGCTAAGCCTAAGCTAAGCCTAAGCTAATCCTAAGCTAAGCCTGACTGTAAAGTGTTTTTACTCAAGTTGGAGTTTCGATTCGGGACCAAGTGCATCTTGTGCAGAATTTTTCGCTGATTCCAAATTTGCTGCGGATTTTTATTTTGAAAGTTATACAGCGTTGTTTTTAAAAGGGCCTTCGTTTTTTTTTCCTTATAATTTAAGGTTAAGGTAAGCCTTAGTAGCCTAGGCTAAGCCTAAGCTAGGCTAAAGCCTAAATTTTAAGCTTAAAAGCCTAAGAAATTTTCTGATCCTTAAGCTAAATCTAAGCGGGGCGTCACGTTGCCCAGGCTTGGCTAGCGAGTACTGTTGCCAATGCACCTGGTGCCAACCGGGGGGGTTTTTAACCCAAGTACTTTAAAGAAAGCCCCCCCCCCTTGCCGGGCGAGGCAGCAATCCCAGCCCTGGGAGCAGAACCACCAGGGACAGCCGAATTGTGGACCAGGATCGGATTTTTGCCTTTTCAAGCTTAATTTGCACCAAAATGAATTTTTGAAATAAAAGTCCGCAGCAAATTTGGAAAACGGACTCGGTATCAACAAAAAATTCTGCACAAGATGCACTTGGTCCCGAATCGAAACTCCAACTTGAGTAAAAACACTTTACAGTAAGCTAAGCCTGAGCCTAGCGCCGTTTTTTCGTTCCCAATCTTGCCTTTAGTCTCCGTGAGGGGGAGAGCATGGTAGATTGGCAGACCGCAAAAGATATGGGAACCGCGGATGCGGAATGTACCTTTCTGAATCGATTTATGGCTTTGGTGCCGCGGTGGCCGGTCTGGTACGAGAGCACGAACGGACAGGTGAGCCGGTCTTGCGCGTTTAAAAAATTCTCGGTTGGCTAGTCTGGTTGAAAGTGTAGATTCTCATAATTTCTGGTCCAGGCAGGCCTTCACGATCATGAGCAATTGGAAATACTGAAGTGGCCGCTGCACATCGTCCATAATTTGCCAAGATACGAATTTGTCGAATTTCTGCAATCAGAACGGATGGTGCCTCGACAACCGGAAAAGGTCAGCCGGAGAGCGACGGCTAAGCGTAAGCCTAAGCCTCAGCTTAAGCCAAACCTAAGCAAAGCCTAAGCCTAAGCCGAAGCCTAAGCCTAAGCGTGGGTCTAATCCTGGCCTAAGCCTAAGCCTAAGCCAAGCCTAAGCCTAGGCCTAAGCCTAAGCCTAAGCCAAGCCTAAGCCTAAGCCTAAGCCAAGCCTAAGCCTAAGCCTAAGCCTAAGCCTAAGCCAAGCTTAAGCCTAAGCCGAAGCCTAAGCCTAAGCGTGGGTCTAGTCCTGGCCTAAGCCTAAGCCTAAGCCAAGCCTAAGCCTAGGCCTAAGCCTAAGCCTAAGCCAAGCCTAAGCCTAAGCCAAACCTAAGCAAAGCCTAAGCCTAAGCCGAAGCCTGAGCCTAAGCGTGGGTCTAATCCTGGTTTAAGCTAAGACTAAGCTAAACCTAAGCTTGGGTCTAATCATAGCCTAAGCCAAGCCTAAGCCTAAGCCTAAGCCTAAGCCTAAGCCTAAGCCTAAGCCTAAGCCTAACCAAGCCTAAGCCAAGCCTAAGCCTAAGCCTAAGCCTGAGCCTAAGCCTAAGCCTAAGCCTAAGCCTAAGCCTAAGCCTAAGCCTAAGCCTAAGCCTAAGCCTAAGCCTACGCCCGTGTCGAAGCCTGAGCCAAGCCTAAGCCTAAGCCTAAGCCTAAGCCTAAGCCTAAGCCTAAGCCTAAGCCTAAGCCTAAGCCTAAGCCTAAGCCTAAGCCTAAGCCTAAGCCAAGCCTAAGCCTAAGCCTAAGCCTAAGCCTAAGCCTAAGCCTAAGCCTAAGCCTAAGCCTAAGCCAAGCCTAAGCCTAAGCCTAAGCCATGCCTAAGCCTAAGCCTAAGCCTAAGCCAAGCCTAAGCCTAAGCCTAAGCCTAAGCTTAAACCTAAGTTCAGATTGGGATTGAACAACTGTGAAGTTCCGTTTAGGTCATCTTGCACTTCGATACGTGTCCCCTGGGGCTCGAGCCGCTGCCCCTATATGGTGCGTCGTTTGGGCAGGTACAGAACTTACGCTTTGCTATCAAAATGCCTGCAATTACAAAGTTGACAACAATTTTAATAGCATTTTACATAGTTTTTAGGTATCAAAACCATAAAAAAATACAAATAATTTTCTGCAATTTTTGACTTTAAGCAAAGACATGTGACCAAAAAAGGTAAAACATTTTGAGTTTTCAAAAATTTTCAAAATTATTTTTGATAACTTTCTAGCAATCAAAAACCACTAAAAACACTATAAAATACTTTATATATCATGAACAGGAGGAAAAAAACGGAAATTTGTTTTCCCCTGCTAAAAATCAGCCCCCCCCCCCGCTACCAGTCCAGCTCCAATGAATTTTGGGTCGCCCACGTCCCACAAATTGTCTTCGACATTTGGCTCTTTTGCCGCGACTACTGGACGAGGATCATGGACGTGGCTACGGTGTTGTTGGAAGCGGCATTGGTTACGGTATGTACGCGTGTTCCAAAATGTACGCAAGAATCCGACAAACTAGGAGACGTTTTTGAGTGTCGTTGGGACTTCGGGATCAAAGCCAGCCTATCTTGTGCAGAATTTTACGCTGATTCCGAATATGGTAACTGTTTTTGCGGAATAGCCATTTCTCGAAAGTTATGAACAATTTAAACCTCAAAAAACCCCCAAAATCGGCTACTTTCGTTAGGCATCGAAGGCTTCTAAATAAATTTTACAGAAAACCAGATAATGCATCTTGTTCAGAAAAAAATTCTCTACAAAATATACCATCTTAACCAAAATCATTGAAAAGTTGGAAAAATTTGATAAATTGGGAGGCCCATAATTTTACAAAAATTTTCTAAACTCGCACCTTTTGAGTTAAGTAGCTTATGTGATAGAAAATTTTCTTTCTGAACAAGATGCACTATCTGGTTTTCTCTAAAACCTATTCCGAAGCCTTTTATGACTATCGAAAGTAGCCGATTTTGGGGGTGTTTTGAGGTTTAAATCGTTCATAACTTTCGAGAAATGGCTATTCCGCAAAAACGGTAAAACCATATTCGGAATCAGCGTAAAATTCTGCACAAGATAGGTTTGCTTTGATCCCTAAGTCCCAAAGACATTCAAAAACGTCTCCTTGTAAGTACCGGCCGGTGAGAGGAATGGCTCGGACGATGACCCTATGGCTTGTCAGCCAGAACGAGCCGGATAGGGTAACACCACACGCTCTACAAAAAAACACACGATTTTGCAGTCCGATTACCATCTTTCCGATGCGCTCCTAAATACGCTCAACTCGAGTGTGGGTATCGATGACGAAGTGGAGATCCATCGTCGCGTCTGTGTAAGATTTCGAAGGGGATGTCGTGGAAAACTTTTTTTTTGCTTCATACGCTTCTTTGTTTGGTTCTTTTGCATTATCGGGGGGCCTACTTCTTTCTTTCCCCTTTTCTTTTTTTATATAAAAAATATGGATTTTTCGGACCAAAATTTCGTCCTTTTCAAAACTAGTTCGATAGTTTTTTAGTTGAAATATAGTTTTTTTTTCCACTAAAACACTGTTAAAACATTAGATATTAACTGATCAGACATTTCTAGGCTGAGACAAAAAAGTTTGGTCCCCCCCGATAATGCGAAAGAACCTTTTTTCAGTCTAATCCCGAGGAGCCGACATTCGGTGGCTATCCCTGCCGCTTCCAAAGTGTCAGGATTTTTGTTGCGCAAAATTGTGGGACTGGAGCAGCAAAAAAGGCGGATATCGAGCGAGATATCCGTGACTTGGACGCGGACGAAGTGGAAGAATGCATCAAACTATGGCCAATTCAGGATGCGGCTGAATCCGTCGAGCGCTAATGCCTCCATTATTGCGGAATAAATTTATTTATTTCTTTGAATTCCTTATTTCTTTTTGCTTTGCTAAACCTAAGTCTAAGCCAAAGCCTAAGCCCAAGCCTAAGCCAAGCCTAAGCCAAGCCTAAGCTAAGCCTAAGCCAAGCCGAAGCTAAGCCTAAGCCAAGCCTAAGCCAAGCCTAAGCCAAGCCTAGGCCAAGCCTAAGCCAAGCCTAAGCCAAGCCTAGGCCAAGCCTAGCCAAGCCAAAGCCAAGCCGAAGCTAAGCCTAAGCCAAGCCTAAGCCGTTTTGACCAGTTGTTTTTGTGCACATTAAAGTGTGTAATAAAAATGCCCGATCGGCCGCATGGAGGCCTTGGAAGTGAAACTTCAAAAATCGTAAAAACCACAAACGCGAATTTGCAGCTATGCCAGGTAGCACATCCGAATCAGCGTTTCAAGCTTGTTCGAATGAGTCCAGGGCAAAATTTTGACAAGCTCGACTGGATAATGCAAATTTTCGGAAAATCGACGTTGCTCCAAAACGGCAAAAAGTGATCACTTCGAAAAATCGTAGCAATTAAACCAGGGCCGCCCAAGTTTCGTAGCACAATTTTTTAGCACCATTTTTTATGCTCTTTCAGATGCAGCATTCAAAATGATTTCGCAAGGTTGATTTCTCGCGAAATCAGCCTTGGAAGATACAACTGATCGGGAGGCTTGCCGGGTGTTTAGGTGAAATGAGTTTAGTAAAAAATGACAGTAATTCGGTAGCGACCCCCCGGCTAAAACCTATCCCCCCCCCGCTAATACCCCAGTACCTGATTCTCAATACTTCTCATCTACTCCCATTTTATCCTTCCCCCGCCGGCCGCTTTATGCATGACATCACAATCTATACCCCTCGGGCCCTTTTTCCGCTTTTCCTGGGCTTCACGGGTTGTCCGCCTCCACCCTAACCTCCTCCCCAATCCCCCCCCCCACAAAAAAACTTTGATATTTTCGGGGTCCCCCTGTCACTCCATTTCCCATTTCCCTGGGGGATTAAAGGGAGAGTGACAGCGGTGGAAAAGACCAGGGAAAATGGGCGTGGCCAACGTTTTTTGGGCGCTTATATAATGGGCGGGATTTGTGGAGGGGGATCTTTGATGTATTTCGAGCTTTTTTATGGTTGTTTCCGGCTGCTACACCTGTTTTAAAGCGCTAAATGGTTTTTGCCGCGTGGTAAGCTGGCAGGGATTCTTTGGGAATTTCTAGAGCCTCGCAAGCTGCAGAGACTATTGAGGAAATGGAAGAAAAGCAGACTAGCAAAGATTCTTGAGGAAATCTCAGACAGTATGCTAGCAGAGATTCTTTGGAATTTTCGTTCCTCTTTATGGCAGGCCAGCAGATATTCTTGAGGAAATCTCAGACGGGCAGGCGGCTAGCAGGGATTCTTTAGGATTTTTTAGAGCTACGCAACTGGCAGAGATCCTTTAGGATTTTCTAGAGCTGCGCAAGCTAGCAAAGATCCTTTAGAATCGATACTCCAGGGTTTTTGCGAGGGAAACTAGCAGAGATTTTTTAGGAAATAGCCGAAAGGTGGGCCAGCAGAAATCCTTTAGGAATTGTTTGTATGCTTTTCGATCTTCCCTTCCAAATCTATTTCCGGCCCGTAAACAGTAGGGTTCCGGAGTGGATGGGGTGAACCCCAGCCCCTTTCATCCCGTCCATCCCTGAATTTCTGATCCACTAGAATATCCGACGAATTCCGGGGGGCCGACGGAGCCTCTTACGGCATTCCGGATTCTTTCCGGAATGCTCCAAAGAACGCGTAGATCCTCGTTGTTTATTAGGATGTTGGTAATCGGATAGTCTGAGGGTATCCAGGAACCGGGAATCGCCTACGCAGCAACCGCTCCTTGGTTATTCTGAGCTTGTCAAAGTATTTAAGGGGAATGGCAAGGTGGGGGTTGTAGAATTTGTCGCGCCCGCGACACGCGACGCGTGCAGGTCGTAATCCATTACGTCGTTTATTAAGGGGAGAGCGACATTTCATTAGACCTCAATTTGGCAATTCCTGAACTTTCAAATACTTCCTGCCCATGTGTTTATTAATTTCCCGCGTTCACCCCGTTAATTGAAAAATTGAAAAAACGAAACTCCTTGTATCTTTCTTTCTCGCTCTCTCTCTCTCTCTCTCTCTCTCTCTCTCTCTCTCTTTCTCTTCTGAATTTTTAATGCACCGAATATTGCTTAACTTCATCAGAAAAGACTTGAAGCGGAAGCGGAAAATTCGTACGAACGTTTCCCCGTCATTTCTTAACATTTCGGAGACAGCTATTTGTCGCCATTTTTTGTCAAGGAGCTTGTTTTGGGCAAAAATTTGTAATGGCGGCGCCGAAAACGGTCTGTGGCTAACCAGTTATTAGAGCTTTTTCGGTCCCAAATGCCGATCATTTCAATTCCGCCTGGCTAGGCTTATCTTAGGCTTGGCTGGGCTTATCTTAGGCTGAGCTTAGGCTTAGCTTAGACTTGGCTAGGCTTAGCTTAGGCTGAGCTTAGGCTTAGCTTAGGCTTGGCTAGGCTTATCTTAGGCTGAGCTTAGGCTTAGCTTAGGCTTGGCTAGGCTTAGCTTAGGCTGAGCTTAGGCTTAGCTTAGGCTTGGCTAGGCTTATATTAGGCTTAGCTTAGGCTTGGCTAGGCTTATCTTAGGCTGAGCTTAGGCTTAGCTTAGGCTTGGCTAGGCTTAGCTTCGGCTGAGCTTAGGCTTGGCTAGGCTTAGCTTAGGCTTAGCTTAAGCGGCTCAAATTCAGCTTAACCGACTCAAAATATTCCCAAAATCCGTACGTGCCCTCCCCCTCATCCCGATTTGGCCGAAGTTCACGGAGATTTCGCCGGGAATGCCAGATTGGCCTTTGCGTGTCGTGTGTCTGTGTGGGTGTGGCTGTTTTGCTCGGATTTTATCGCTCGACCCAACTAAATTAACGGGTTCGGAAAGGCCAAGCCGGGTACACCATTCGTTTTGCACCGATTTTTCTGATTATCAAATCAAAATGTTTTGAATTAGCAAAATTATATTTGCTTAGCTGCTCAAAATTTATAGCATTCCCTTTAAAAAAATGCTTTCCAGTTTTGAATGCCAGCTTTTTTAAGGCTAATTTTCAGCCAGTAATGCCGAACCAGGGCCACCAAATTCTCGTTGGCCTCTTCTTGGCCCTATTGGTCGCCGCTGAGGCTTCAACCATCTTTAAGAAGAGCGAAATCGCGCCCTCGTTGGCGTTGCAGAGATATTTGGACATTCAGGTATCAATCGGACCTTCAAAACCACCGAAACAATTTAGGAGACGATCAATCGTTTGGCCGAAGCGAATCGGGCGGTTCGATGCCGAGTTCCAGGTGAGGGCGCGAGAGTGAGAGAGAGCGAGAGCGAGAGAGGGAGAGCGACGAAGAGAGAGAAAGGGAGAGAGTGAGAGAGAGTGAGAGAGAGAAAGAGAGATAAAGAGAGAGAGAGAGAGAGAGAGAGAGAGAGAGAGAGAGACAGGGGGGTGGGAGAGGGCGAGAGGGAGAGATCGCGAGACAAACACCTGTTTTAGGAACGACCTACAACAAGCAGAAGCGTTACATCGGGCCGGCCCGTCGCCTTGAAGAGCTGATCGCTCCGTTTAGGTAATAATTCGGCCCATCTTTTGAAGGAGAGCGAGAGAGAGAGAGAGAGAGAGAGAGAGAGAGAGAGATAGGGGAGAGAGTGAGAGCGAGCGAGCGAGAGACAGCGAAAGCCGGCTATCGAGTTTTTGGAAACTTCGAACACCGTAATCTACGGATTTCCCCCTTCTCAGCCCCTTTAAACCCCTATTTTCAGCATAGAAAACCACTACTCTTCTATGCCCCAACCGTCCCAACCGCAGCTCCAGGATTTCTACTATGTCGACTGCTAAAAAGTGTCCCACGGCCCGGGCGGCCGATTTTCTGTATAATTGTCTACGTGTACGCCGGAGGGAATAAATTGTTTGAATCGAATTTTAACGTTAATTTCCGAATTTAACGCCAAAACAGCTGCCGCGCAAAAGTTCACATTTAAGCTTTACGATGATGTCTAGATAAAAAAGAGGGAAGAAAAACTTTCGAAAGTCTTGACTTGAATTCTCGACAAGCAAATTAGGACTCCCGGCCGAGCAAAAAATGGATGAAAGAATCGCCTATCGAAGAATAGGCCGACGATTTAAATCTATATTTATCTTTTCTTTTTCTTGTTATATCCTTAAATAAAATATATAACAAGAAAAATTGAATCGTAATTTAAGAAACTACTTTAACTGCAACGTGACGACACCCCGCCTCGACAAAACTGTTGAGGCCGAAAACACCTCATTCTGAGAAAACCTAAAAAAATATAAAAAACTTTTACTTTTAACACAGTTTCCAAACGGTTAAATTACATTATTAAAATGAGCAACGCTGCCAAGTTGGCAATCAATGATGTCATTAGTGCTAGAAAAGTTACCCCTACGCCGCCATTTAAAAAAATAGGTCATCCGCATAGCAAGAACCATGTGTAAGCCATTGACCACAACGCTTCCTATTCGTCGTTAGTAGCTGGTTCTTATATATCACTGAATACTGGACTTCGGGCTACCCCCTGCGCTCCCTCCCCCTCGCCGAAACGCGCGCCACCTGGCTCACTATGTCCAAAATCGGGCAAACATCCCTTCCCCACTCGTTTTTTAAGGCGCCCCTTTCAATGTTAAATTTAATAATTTAAACAAAAACTTTTTCATAATTTTCTTATCAGTTTGGGGGTTTCTGACCACGCTCTATCCGAATCCGACGAGACCTAAGCTTTAGCTCCATTCCGCTTCGAGTTGAATTCGGCCTCGGACGGACAGACGCTTCAAAAAAAAATTACTATTGTTGATATTTTCAGGATGACAGCAAGTGCACGCTTCGATTTCCGAAGGCTGAACGATGTTCAAAAGTCGGCTGTCTTGCTAAGCGTCAATGTCCGCGACAAATTGATGTTGCGCCGGAGCGCCAAGGTTTTTCGTTGTTTAAATTCAAAAAACATTGTTTAGATATTTCGTAAAAACGCGCTGCATATTTTCTTGATGCGGAGTCGGTTTCGGTGGATGCGCATCATGGGACCAGAGGAGCCTGAGGTGGACCCGGACCCAGAGTTTAACGTGAGCTTTCGCGTGGGCTTTCGCATTCTCGAGCAAGCGATTTTTTGAACGGCCACTTTACTCCCCCTCCCCGACCCCAGCCGGAAGTTTTTGGCTATAACTTTTGTATTTTACATTCTTGTAGGCTCAAATTATAACTCTTAGTATATTTTTCGCCGTCTTATCGAATCGCGTTGAAAAATCGTGACAAAATCAGCGAATATACCAAACACTCTCTACCCTTGAACAAAAATTTGTAGAGTTTTTGCGTTTAGAAAAGTAAAAACTTGCTAGAAACAATTCCGCGATTTCAATTTACAAAATATCGATCCTCAAAGCTTGACGGAAAGCTAGCCAAGAAACTGCGCTTTCTAGTATGCCGACCTGGAGAGCGGCAGCATATTTATCCTGCGCTCCGAGGACGGTTTGGACGATCTAGATCTGGTGATCGGTAATCCGACGATACCGATGAGGCTTGATTTGTCGACGCTGTAGGTCAAGCGTTGAAAACCAAGCTGACAAATTTTCAGTTTGAGAGGCGCCTCTGAAGTAGCCGAGAAGGAGTACTCGGAATGGCATGTCACAAAAGAGCTGGGCACCGAGGAGGCTGCTTGCAAATTTGTGAATAGGTTGCTGATGGCGTTGCCCCCGCATGCTGTCCGTTTCGATTGCAGGCACGGGGATGGGCAGGTCAGAGAGCTCGACAAAAACCTCGACAAAACTACGGCAAAAATGCTATTAGGCCATTTTACGGATTTACCTTTATTTCGCCGAATTTTCATATCGCCGAATTTTCATTTCGCCGAATTTTCATATCGCCGAATTTTCATTTCACCGAATGTGTATTTTGTCTAAAGTTTGTTGCGCCCACCTTCATTCGGCGGAATTTTCGTAGCCCTTTATCTAGCGAACAATAAAATATAACTCAGCTGTGCTCTTCTTCAGACATAGGTCGAAGCAAAAATCAGTGCCGCTGTTGTCAACGAAGGTAAAGTTATCTTCTTGATGCTCCGACAAAATCATGTGTCAGGCGGAGCAAAGGATTGTAAATTCCAAGGTCTCCAACATAGATTTTCTTAGGTAATTCGGCGCTATGAAAATTCGGCGAAATGTAAATTCACCCATTTTACGCCCCTGCACCAGAAATGTTCCCCTGAAAATGATTGTAATCTATTTTCGTGTTTTGGAATTTTTAGTTGGAAGTCATGTGGGGGCTTTTTCCAGGTTGACCATTGCTTTCGCGAACAATTGGACATACTGCGGTCGCCGATGCTGAGTTTGCACTTTCAGCAGTCGCCGCCAAAACCGCTGGAACCGCTGCTCCGCGAGGAGCTGCGTCTGTCCCGGAAACCCCATGGCGTAAGTCACCGTCTGTTCGCCGTCTCCCAATGCTTGCTTGTTTTATGTTCGTCCCGCCGTTCGTTCGTGTTTGTTTTTGGGACTTTGGTGCTCCTGGCGCGGCCCGAGAACTTCCAGCCTTCTGAGCCCGGCCTCAACTATTCCGGGAATCATTCCGGGAACCTATTCCGGGAATAATTCCGGGAATCATTCCGGGAATCGGGAAAAATATTCCCGGAATCATTTTCATCTATTCCGGGAATCTCAGCACAGCACTTGAAAATTCCTCGAATTAAAAAAATTCCCGGAATTACATTCCGGGAATTTGCCTAACATTCCCGGAATAGATGAAAATGATTCCGGGAACTAATTCCGGGAATGGGTTCCCGGAATAGCATTCCGGGAATCGATTCCCGGAATTCCCGGAATAGATGAAAACGCATTCCGGGAATCGATTCCCGGAATCATTCCCGGAATGAATTCAGGGAGATGCCGGGAGATTGCGGGAATGAAAAAGGCGTTCCCGGAATGATTCCCGGAATAGTTGAGGCCGGGCTCTGACGTCTCGTCTCCTCTGAAGCCCGGCCCAGGCGTTTCAACGCACAATTGCTGCAAAATCAGATTTTTAGTTTAGGTAGCGATTGGATTCTATCTATGTCTGCGTCGTGATGGGACGCCGCGAGCGGCCCCGCCGTACCACGCAATATTTGAGCAAGTAAGCGTTTTTTTTCGGCACAAGCCTAAATTTTTTATAAATAGCTGCGTTTCTAAATTGTTTTTAACTATTCCTGAGCATAAAAACTACACACATTTTAATTAAAAAAATTAATTTTACGTCGAAAAATCCTATAGAACCTTTAGGTTTGGGGGGGAAGGCCCGAAAATGACCAAATTTTCGACTTTTTCAAACATTTTTCTAACTTTTATGAAAGTTTTTCTACTTTAAGTATAGTTAAACTTTATCAAAAACAGTGTGAAAACACTTTGTATTTGATTACTAGGTCAACCGGGACCACCAGGAAAAAAAATTGGTTACCCGAAAAATTCGCAGAGAGCCGCGCACGATTCCAGGTGGCCCACTTCCCCCGGATTTCCCTGACCATACCCTGCGTTCGACACAATTTCTGGGGTCAGTCGATGGAAATTTTTGTCCCCCTGCTCGAGGCGGCTCTCGTGTCGGTAAGTCTAAGAAAGAAAGAGGTGCTAGCAGCACACCTGGTTGCATTTGCATTTTAGCATCGGCCGAGCCAGCGCGCGCCGCGAATCTTGACCTTCACGACCGTCTGCGCGTCGAGGCCATCGGATAGGGTTAGTTGATGGCGTAGCTAGGAAGCTAGCCCCGAAGTTCGCGTTGCACAATCAGAGGGATTTTCTGAAGCCGCAATTTCAAAACCTGGATTTCAGCCCGTTTGCCGACCTATCGACCTCATTGAAAAGCTCGGTGCGAAAATCAGCATCAACGATCGGATAGAGATTTACCGCTGCGACACGGTGAGTGAAAGCTGTATACACTATATATAAAGAGCCACCTATAGACCAGTGCAAAAGACCGCTGCGCTGCAGACCCCCTGTTATTAAAGAGACGAGGAGGAAGTCCCAGGGGAGAGGCGCAGAGACATTTTTTCCCGCGCGTAATCGATTGACTTATGGCGCCCCTATCTCTTTAAGGATTGTTCATCATTCTCTTGCTTGCAAATTCATTCATTTAAAAAGATACTGAAAACGCACAAACCTTCTTTTCGTGGATGGCATTTCCCACCTCCATGCCAAAAGTCAGCCCGAACATTGGCCTGACGGCCGAGAAATCGGCTGCCCCGAAAACAGACATCCTTTTCTCGCTTATACAGGGTGTCCCAAAAAAAGCACCCCTCCGGCATTTCGCCGTATTACATCCCAACAGTCTCAAAATTGGACTGGAGGTGTATCGGGCCCTGAATAACCACAATCCTGAGTTATAGTCCGATCGATACAGTAGTTTTCGAGTTATCGCCAAAATACAGTTTTTTACGCGATTCTTATCAGTTTTTTCGGCTATCTTTTTTGACTTTGCATCGATTTGCATCGACTTCCGGCTGCGAATCCCTAATTTCGCTTAATATCGGGGTTGACTTTGCGTTACAAAAATTGTTGAATTCAACGGTTATTTCACTAATTTTAATCAGAAAAAATCTCAAGGGGTAAAGAAAGCTTGCCGCTTCATTTTTACTTAATATTCGAAGGGCCGATTCCGTCGAAAATCATACGAAAAACGGATAATAAAGTTTATTTTTGTTGTATCTCGAAGATTACTGTAACTGGCGGGCTATAACTCAGGATTATGGTTATTTAGGGTCTGATGCACCTCTGGTCCAAATTTCGGACAGATCGGATGTAATACGGCAAAATGCCGGAGGGGTGCTTTTTATGGGACACCCTGTATGTTCGGATTGATGGGCGCAAAAAAATGTTGAAGCTGCCTAAGGCTCTTGCAAAAGCTCTTTGAAAAATTTAGATGGTTTACCGGACCCCGAATAGCCAGGGCAAGGATGAAGTGCGAATCTATCTAGCGCAGAACTGTGAAGACATGAATGCAGAGTGGCGCATGGAGAAGGTGCTTCACGAAAAGCAAAGGAAGAATTCCGGGCGACCCGAAAATTGGATCAAAGAATGGCCGATCGCAGAAGAATTGAAAACCGATTGAAATCAGGAATCGCAGATATTTTTTTTTGTTTCTTCATGTTATCTACTGAATAAACGTCATTGTCGTAACTTCAATGTGACTACACCTCGTCTTGAGGAGACCGTTGAGGCTCCGAAAATACCCCAAACAGAAAATAAAAAAATATAAACAAAACCTTTTACATTTCTCATACCCTTTAAATTGCCAAAATTACATTTTTAAAAAAAACAATAAGTAAAGTAGTAAGTATTTTAGCGGCCACTCTTGTTATTAGTGCTAGCAAAGTCAACCACGTGCCGCCATCTCAAAAAAATAGGTCATCCACGATATATGAACGGTACCCCATTACCTGCCTGCCGAGCATGCTCTGACAAAAACACCACAAAACTAATGATTATTCAAGGTACAGCTACGCTTTTTCACATCGCAGAGACTTTTAAAATTGCCAAAATTACGCTGTAAAAACACGAGTAATCAAATAGAGGTATCCCAAGAATTTTGCGGGGTACAAAAGAGGTGCAGCATCATTTTCACTGCACATTTGTCATTCAGCTTCCCTCGAAACTCCTGTGAAAAAACGGCGAAAAGCCAAAGTTTATTTGTGTGATGATTGGAAAACGGCTGTAACAACGGCTTGACAGAAATACAGAGGCAAATGATAGTATGGCGTCAAATTGGCCGGGGCCTCTGCGATCGGCCATTCTTTGATCCGTTTTTGCGGTTGCTCCGAAATCGAATGCTCCGTCTCCATTCGCCACGCTGCATTGTTCGCTCCACAATTCTGTCCGAGATAAATGTCGACCTCGTCGACTCGCTGGCCCCTCGGCAGCCCCCTGCACTTCTTCGACTCCTAAAAATGACACGGTGCTTCTGCAGCGGAGGCCAAAGTTTTCTCTTAGGATCGAATCTTTCAAATATAAATAGTCGAAGTGGTTCTAAATGTTTTTTTGCTATTCCAAAATCTAACTTTATAATTATATCAATAGTACCATAACAAAAATATAGATTTTTTGCCAAAAAATGCTCATCTTTCGATATTCTTTCCAATATTTCGACGTTTTAGAATTTTTTGCATTTTTAGATAGTTTTTATAGTTAAATATAGTTATTTAATAAAAATGTTGGTAAGATCCGAACCTTCAAAATTAAATTGTGGACCCATTCTGTGAGCTGAGCCATCGAAAGTTTCGAATTTTGTTTAAAGGCTTACCGTGGTGCAGCGGTATATCTCGATCCGATCGTTGATGCCGATTTTCGTGCCCAGCGTCTCTATGATGTCAATGGGTCGGTAGCCGGGCTTAAAAAGATTCTTTTGAAAAGTTCATTAAGTTGCTTTCATAAAAACTTTCAAACGATTTCCACGACAAAAGTCTTCGTAATGTAAGCGGAGCCGAGTCTAAGCCTAAGCTAAGCCCAGGCTCAGTCTACGCTTAAGCCTAAGCCAAGCCTAAGCCAAGCCGAGTCTAAGCCTAAGCTAATCCCAGGCTCAGTCTACGCTTAAGCCTAACCTGAGCCTAAGCTTAAGCCTAAGCCAAGCCTAAGCCAAGCCTAGCCTAAGCATACGCTGAGCATAAGACAAGCTCAAGCTAGGCATAAGCCGCTGTCCTCTAGCCCGGGTGCAACAAACCTTGATATCACCATCCAACCTGCACTTGATTCCAATCGAAATAATCCGCGTTTCACCTTCGGTCGGTCGGTGCTAAAGTGCAAAGGGCTCATGTTTTATCATCAAGCCTACGCCTCCCTTCCAACTATGTACTTACCGTCACCAACGCCGCCTCGAGCATCGGCACCACCACTTCCATCGCCAGGGCCCAGAAATTGTCGCAAAAGTAGTCGAAGCGAAGGGAAATCTTAGGCAGATGGGCGATCTGCAATCATGCGAAGCTGATCGACCCAAATTTTATGTTCGTCAAAAGGATTCCCTTTTTTCGCCCGCGCCCGCGCCTCATACGATTTTGCCCCCGTTTGGACGTGAAAACGGTTGAATTGAAAAATTCTGACGCTATTTCTGGAATCCGCACGGGATTTTGATGCTTCTAGACTTTTTAATTATGAAAATTGACCAGAAAATCACCGAGATCGAGGGATTGAGTGCCTTATAGGGCAGTACGACATGTAATCGTCGTGCTCTCAAAAAGGCGTTTTCGCCCTGAGAACATTTCACTTTTACTCAAATATTTTACATTTTTCGCAACGAAGTTACTTTTCTCGGTCTTCTCAGCAGTATCCCTTTCCTTTTTTGACCAGTAGAATCAAACCACGCATGCGCGAATTTTGACTTCCGAGCCCCTTTAAAGATATTTACCTGCTCAAAAACTGCACCATAGTTGGGATCGACTTCTGGCGGACTCCAACGGTCGCCAAACGAAAGCGCGATCTAGCAATAAGATATACATTTTCCGGTGCTAATGCAGTCGGGGGGAGTCAGTCCGAAATTGGTAGCGTGGGGTTATCAGGGCCTCCGCTTAAAGGAATAGGGGCGGCATAAGGCAATCGATTACGCGCGGGAAAGAAAATGTTTCTGCGCCTCTCCCCTGGGCGCCCTCTCTCGCCGCCGGTCGCGCTGGGACCTGTTGACCCCCCCCAAGGGGGGTTCAACAGATGCCGTCCTCATCTCTTTAAGCTATTTGGTTTTTAGCTTTAGCCTAGGCTAAACTTAGCTTTGACTATCCCTAGTTTACCTTGATCTGCAAATTGCCTTACTGGCTTAGGCTTACATGTAGAGGTTGTGGGGACACAGACTCCAAAACGGCTCAAAATTGGTGGAAAAATCAAATAAAATACGGGGAAAACGATGTGATAAAAATTATCTGCCAATGGGCACTTTTGTTTAATAAACTTTTCATTTTAATGGAAAAAAGTGCTCCTAAAATGCACTTTTAGCCGCTTTATTGGGCCTTACGGCTTGGAAAAAAATGTTTTGATGGAATTTTCATAGCCGCCATGACACTAGACACCTCTCCACACCCGAAAAAAATTGATCTGAAAAAATTTTTTTCATGAAAAATTTCCCGACCTATCCTATGGCCCCGGATCCTGGCAGAATTGGAAACTGCTTAAAATAGGTGGTTCTGGCTCCTAGGCGCTTCAAATCTGAGCACCGAAATATTTCAGATTGTCGGAATAATTCTATTTTTACAATTCTGGTTCAAAAATAATTATTATTAACTATTCAGTTGGTTTCCATCCAGCTGGAATAGGTAGCTAGACCTTTTTTATACAAAAAGTTCAAAATTTTCGAAATTTTATTTTTCTGCCTAGGCAACTTCTAGGGATTCATAGGACCGAAAAACTTTCGAAAACACTTTCTAGACTCTCTCTCGGCAAAATAAAAGCGAAAACAGCAAAAAGCAAAAATTAAAAATATTGACGGGGTCCGAACCCTCGACCCCTGGCATGTCACCCCTGCACCTTACCACTACACCACCAATCCAACGGGATGGGGCGCTTGGGAAGACTTCAAGAGTTCTCCCCTGCGCCTTACGGTTTTGGCCACCCAGGTCGCGATTCTAGGTAGTTTTCCATACAAAATCTTAAAATAAAAAGTTTATTAAACAAAAGTGCCCATTGGCAGATAATTTTTATCACATCCTGTTCCCCGTATTTTATTTGATTTTTCCACCAATTTCGAGCCGATTTGGAGTCTGTGACCTCACAACCTCTACATGTTAGCTTGGCTTTCCAGACCCTTCGACAGAACGACGACTCTCTTTTCCAGAAACTTAAAAAACGGCATTTGGAGCGTCTTGTAGTCAAAATCCGGGCTGCCCCCCCCCCCCCCCCCCAAGTGCATTAGCACCTATTTTCCTATCGCTTTGCTAGGATCCTACTATATATAAAAAAATAGTGTTTGTGTGTGTGTGTGTGTGTGTGTGTGCATTTGCATGCAACTTCCGTCTGTATGTTCCAGGCGTATCTCAATTGGAGAGGAAGTTAAGGGTACGTATGATACGTCATTAGGTGCGTAATGGTCATGACACGACTGCACGCAAATGAGATTTTTAAAAATCAGCTGTTTTCGATATTAAAATCAAGTTTTTGTGAAAATCTCGGTCGGCCTCTTTGTTAGGAATCAATTAGCATGCACCGGAAGTGAGGGAAGCCTATATGATGGGGGAGAGGAGGCGCTTTTCATTTTTCTGCACAGGAATTCAGGTGTTTATGCAAAGTGATAGAAGTATTAGGGTAAGACGGGGCCAGGGTTGAAAAGTCGCGAAGCGGCTTTTCAACCCTGGCGAAATTGAATTTTTTTTCATGCTCAAACGTACCTCGTAGGGCTGTCTGGAAAGTCTACGTTCGTCACTTAGACGCGGCACGAGCACGTCCACTGATGTCTGGAAATGCGTGACGCGCATCGGCGACCGCATCACGTCCAAATGTTCCCGGTAGAAAAGGGCTGTCTAGAAAAAGCCAACAAAAAATTCGGTTCTTTGCGATTCGCGGGGGGGGAGGGTAAACCAAATTTTTCTCCGGCGAAAGTCTTGTTTTATAAATAGCGAATGCGTTTTTACATTGTTTCCAACTGTGCTTAACCATAAAAGTTTCAAAAGTTTAAATTACCAATTTAATCTTATGCCGAAAATTGATTTTTCGGTCCAAAATTACCAAATTTTCGACTTTTTCAAACATTTTCTAACTTTTTTTGGAAAATTTTTCTGGGGGAAATCGGCCCAAATTCAGTGGTTTTTTTCACATAGAAAAGGTAACGCTTCGGTTTGGAACTTTGAACTTCCGGAAATGGACTCTTAGCGGGGGGGAACCAAATGCTTCCCTATGATTTTCTACGGCCCCCATAACAAAAGACAACACGATTCTTATAGCACCTACATAGTTTTCAGATCTGAAAACAATATAAAAATAAAACATTTTCGAAAATTTTTGGCTTCTTTTTTAAAAATGTATGAAAAACCACCAAAAAATCCTAATTTTTCAATTTCCATAATTAAAAAAATATTTTTTATAACTTTCTAGCAATCAAAAACTACTGAAAAACACTATAAAAATACAGAATACATCGTCAACCAGATAGGCATAGGGGAAAAACAGAAAGTGGTTCCCCCCTCCGTTAACAGCCCAGAACCAGACTGTGCACGAACTTGACCCACCTGCCCGGTCATTGGCCCGCAATGGAAATGGACAGCATGAGGGGGCAACGCGATCAGCAGCCTGTTCAGAAATTCGCATACAGCCTCTGCCGAGTCGATCTCCTTTGTAACGGTCCACTTGTCGTGGTAGCGTCTTGTGAGTTGGCTATGCTGGTCAACCACGCTGCTGAAAATTTAGATTCTGGACTATTAGCTGGGGGAGATTTCGAGCAGGGGGGAAGGCCACTTTGTATTTGTCTACCCATACCTACCGGTATATTTTTTTTAGTAGTTTTGGATTGTTAGAAAGTTCTAAAAAAAATTTTAATTTGAAAAATTCCAAAATTTTGATCTGTTTGATCTTTTGCATACCTTTGACCAAAAAAATTTCAAGTATTTTTATTTTTTATATTGTTTTTGCGTTGTTGTTGTTTTTATACTCAAAACTGCGGAAAAATACTATAAAAATGATTTATGTTTTGTTATAGGGCCGTAGAGAATCACCGGGGAAAATTTGGCTCCCCCCCCTCTAACAGTCCAGAACCACAAATTTTACAAATTTTACAAATCACAGTTGTGGTGAGGCTGGGGTTAGGACCTGGTTAGACCGGAATTATTCATCCACCTACCTTGCCGTCAAATCTAACGTGATGTGCTCGCCCGGCTTTACAAGGGACAGCAACAAGCCGTCATCATCGCCCTGTGACGTCATTTGAAACTCGCTGTCCACGCCTGGCATATCCTAAAAAAGCGGCGCGTTTTGTAACTGCTCGTGATGGTATCAGATTGATCGGTCATTCAGTGTCCGATTTTGATGATCTCAACATCTATCGATATCTACTCCTCGAGGGCTATCGATTGGTGTTAAAGGTATCGTATGCAAATGCCTGTATGCAGAGATATCTCGCTTAGAAGCTTTCACCTAATTTTCCGTGAAACTTCTGAGGCCTGTATTGTCGCGTACATTAGTTTTTGTGTGTTTTGAGGGTCATCACGTGATAGAGCATCCGAAGATCTACCAAACCATATATCAAACTTTCAAATCGGACGTTCCTGCGGGTTTTTACAGCGGTTTAAAGATTTTGTGCCATTACTTTCTTTCCAACCTGATATTTGCGACGAAAATAGCCATAAATACATTTATGCCGGTGAAAAAAAAACGAGTTTCGATGAAACTGCGTTATCAAATTACACAAAAATAAACGGAATTAACCCCCGACGGACCGCCCGTTCTTTTTCATCAATTAAATTTGCGTTTCGCTTAAAAGTAGCTATGGTGCCGAAATTTTTCGTGCGCTATCGAATGGTATTTGCAAAATTTGACGGCCGGTCCTTTCGCATTATCGGGGGGAGGGTATCGGGGAAACCTAACGTTTTGTATAAGTCTGGAGCTGCCTAGTAATTTAATAGAAGTTGTTAATAGTGCTTTTCGTAGTATATAGCGATATTTGAACTAGAAAAACTATCCCAAAAACTTTTAAAATTTGGAAAAATGTCGAAAATTTTAGGCAATATCGGCGTTTTGTGGTCAAAAAAAAATCGCTATTTTGCTATTGTTTACTAAAAATTCATCAACCTGACAGCCATTTAAAATGCCGGAAATTAATTTGTTTAAATTTAATAATTTAATTTTGTTAACAAATTTTTAATTGAGAGTAATTCTCAAATGCTTTGCCGGCCCACCATTTCATCGGGTCCGTCGATGTCGAAAGACCCGAATCGAGTGCGCAACATGAAATGATGGAGAGCCGCTCGACGAAACATCTAAAAAAGGTGTTCTTTGATCTAGGTTGAGGGGCTACCTTAGCGCTCCGACGCAACATCAGCTTGTCGCGAACATTGACGTGGAGACAGACTGCCGACTTTTGAGTGTCGGTCAGCTTCCGGAAATTGAGACTCTCTTTTGCCGGCATCCTGAAACTACGGAACGTTAACAAATCGGCGAACTAGACGAGAAGAGTTGCTGTGCGGATGATCTTTCTTTTGAAACGGCGGGCTAGGGTTGTCTTTTTCTAACACTAATGAGGCAAAGTTCGAGCGTTCCAGCGTTCGAGCGATGTCATTAGTGTTAGAAAAAGCTATCCCTACGCCGCCACTTCAAAAAATGGTCATCCGCACACAGCAAATAACCTTGTTGTAGCCGTCGACCTCAACGAGGGACGTAGCGTAAGGTGGGCCTCTCGCAATTTTCCGCCTGCGGCGCCTTTCAGTGGCATTTTCACGCGAATTTGAGCGTTCCGAACGCTTTTTCGAATTTTTTTTTGGGCGCTGTTATTAACGCAATTTTCGGATGTTTTAAAAGTGGCGCCGGGGGGGGGAGAGGTCGCCAAAATTTTCGCGCCCCCCGAAATTTGGCCCTAGCTACGCCCCTGACCTCAGCGCTTCCTAGAATTTTCTTAACATTTTCTTTAGAGCTTTTTTCATCCGTAGTCGCTCATTTTATACATTTCGTATTTTCAGGATGCCTGAAAACGAGCGCTTCGATTTCCGAAAGCTGACCGCCACTCAAAAGTCGGCTGTCTTGCTACGCGTCAGAGCCTGCGAGAAGCTGATGTTGCGCCGGACGGCTAAAGTTTTTTCATTTCGCAATTGACAAACCATTCCGTAGGTGTTTCACGACAAGGGCCTCCACGAATTTTTGATGCGCGGCCGGTTTCGGTCACTCGCGATCCACGGACCAGATGAGGACCAGGTTGGCCCGGAGAGCATGGAAAAATTCAGCAAGCAAGCCTCGTTAAGCAGGAAGCACCCAACAAGATATTTCAGTCTTTCGACGGGATGGGCAGCGAGTTCTTTTTGATGTCGCAGGGCGCTATAGATGGGATTTCGTTGGCGCTTCACAGTCCGAGGGCGCCCATGCAGCTGAACTTGACTGCATGGTACGATGAGCGACTTATTATAATTTTTTCGACAATCATTCTGCCGAAATATCGTTTTGTCGAAATTTCAATGTCTTTTTCGCCTCGATTATTCATCTCAATCATTTCGGAAACCAGCGCCCAAAACACGCTTCGCGGGCCTTGGGCGCTGGAATGTGGGATTTGCATGAGAAATTTGATTTTCCGTTAGCTCGGGTCCTGCGGGCCCCCGACCACACGCGCGCGTGCTACCCGCAACAATGAGGAAATTTGTATTTTTTCACATTATGCAAATTAGCCCTCCCGGACCCAAAAATGAATAAAACCGGCTTTAACTTTGTAAATTTGTATTTTATCGAAATTCTGAGAACATCATCGGAAAGAGGAGGGTCGATTCCCCCGGGTGACGGAGAATTAGGACGTTTTTTGCAAGGGAACGCCCTCAAATCGGACCTTGAAAGTGACATCCACACACACCCACACACAGAGATACACTCCAAAATTATGTAAGGTAGGATTGGAAATCGGCGCATTGAAATTTCGAAAAATGAATTTGGACGAAATGATATGTTGACAAACTGGAGTCTCGACAAACTGATAGCAAATCACGATCGCAGACAAAAACTGACTACAGGGTGTCCCACAAATCCCCCCACCCCCCGCTCGGCATTTGGCCGTCTTCCATCCGATTCGGCACCTAATGTCGAAATTTCATAATGTCGAAATTCGGATGTAAATTCGACATTCTGAATTTCGACATATGGGCCCCCGTCTCTGGTAGAAATTTGGTCCCGGTCGGATGGAAAACCGCCAAATGCCGAGGCGGGGGGGAGAGTTGGGACACCCTGTAGTGAGTTCGACTTTTCAGCTGTGGCAGACGTGTACGGCAGTGGAGCCATACAGCAGACATGGGATCGGTTGATGATGTATGCAAATTTCTGAATCGATTGTTTGTGTCGTTGCCACCGCATGCCGTCAGGTTTCAGTGCGGCCTATCGACTGGGCCGGTGAGTTCCGCGCGATTAATCAGCCACTGTACACGGCGAGTCAGAAAATTGGGCGCTTCCCTGTTAATGGGGGGGGGCTAATTTTTAGTTTTGAGCTTATTGCTAGCACAGGGAGTATTTTTACAATGTTTTTAGTAGTTTCCGGTTGCTAGAAAATTATAAAAAAAAAATTTTATACTTTGAAAAGTCGCAAATTTTTGACCCTTTGGGCCGACCGGAATTACAGGGAAAAATTGGTCCCCCCTCGTTAAATGGGAAGCACCGCTTTTTAAGATATTAATATAAAGAGCTAAAAGAGGTAAAAAATTTTCTAAAACCAAAAGCGCATTTTTTCACGGCTTTTCGAGGGCTTTCGAATAGTGTAAAAATTGCTTCACGGCAGTTTACCCCCCCAGCCGACCGCCAACTACCGTATCTCGGCTCCCTATTCATCTACAGTTTTGAAAAGCATACCGAAATACTCGCCAGAGCAAGACGAACATTTTGGTACACTTTACACACCTGTAGATGAACAGGGAGCCGAGGTACAAAAGTTGGGTGCCGGCTGGGGCGGGCGGGGGGGGGGGGTAAATTGCACTCTAACCGTAAAAATTCTTCTGTTCATGAGACAACAAACAATTTCCGTAAATATCATGCACCAAATAACCTAAAAAATATATTTAATTAAAGTTATCGATAACGATCTCACCTGTGATTTGCCTTTCCAGACGGCCCTCCTCTACCGTGAACAATTGGACATGCTGCGGTCGTGGATGCATGTTTCGCATCCTGAGATGCCCCTGGACGCGCTCGTGCCGTTACTTCGTGATGAACGTCGACTATCCCGACAATCTTATGAAGCACGTTAACCTGAGGGAATTGGGTGCATCCCGTTGAATTACTGTCATTTTTCGATTTTCCGAAAAATTTTGTTCCACTGGTATCAACAATTAGATATCAGCGCAAAAATTCAAAATTAGGGCTCCCCCCCGCCCCGTTAAAGGGCACGTTCAGGGACGTTTTTTTGCAAAAAAAGCAAAGGTTTTTGCCGCGGCCGGGGGTCGAACCAGGGCCCCCCGCTCGGGAGGCGCGGATGGATACCAGTCAGCCACAGCTACAACCTGGCAAGAGGGCGAGGGCGCCCCACGCCGCAAAGGAGGGGAATGGCCTGTCACAGCACGGGCAGGCAGTGCGCGCGGTCCCTACGTCCATAGGGTGTACACGTTGGGACGAGTACACGGCCCCTCCCTGAACGTGCGCTTTAAACGCGCGAACCGAATCGGACTTTCCAAGAAAATAAACTAAATCGATACTCTAGATCGAACTTATGTTTGGGGATATCACGGGTATATGGAGTGCACCGCCAGCTGATCCGCAGTATTGCGAGCTGTTCGAGCAGGTAAAGCTCTACGAGGAATTTACCATTTTTCGGTAAAACAAAAAACACTTCCTTCAGCGACTCCTAAAAAATTTCAATAATAATTATCGCATATAGGCATGGCGGTTCTGGTTCATTAACCGGGGGGTTCGTCGTGGCAGCTTTTTCAAATACCTCATCATTTTTTCGGGGACTACATAACCGCGACCCGGTAGAGCATCAGAAAATATACTAAAAAATTTAATTCGAAATCAAAACACATCATTTACGGAAGCTCATCTAAGAAAGAAAGAAAAATTTAAGACAAAAAAATCAAAAGCCCTGAAAATGGGATTTTCTGATCGCTATTTTTCGGGATTTTCGATATTTTTCGACATTCTGTTAACGCCATTCTATAAAGCTTCAAAAACAAACGAAAAGAAGGGTTTGATAAACCGCTCAAAATATTGTAATCTAAGGGAAGCACTTCCCCCCCCCCCCGTTAAGTAACCAGAAAAATGGTTCCGAAAAAGGTGCGTGATAAAATTGTTTCAATATTATGCCAATAAGCCAAGAGAAAAGGACGGGCCATCATTTTGAAATTTTCAAAATGGTGATTTTCGCATTAAAATAAGGTGTCGCTTGATTGCAGATAGCCCACTTGCCAAGGATTTCCCTTCACTTCAACTACTTTTGCGACAATTTCTGGGCCCTGGTGATGGAAGTGGTGGTGCCCATTCTCGAAGCGGCTCTCGTGACGGTGGGCGGCAAACTATATGCGGTTCTGGAGGCTACCGGGGCGGGGGGGGGGAGCGCGTGAAACCAAATTTATTCACGACTTCTACATAAATAATTTATTCATGTATAACGAAATATAACCAAATAACAAATTTATAGCATTTTACAATTGTTTTCGACAAACAAGTTTATAAAAAATTACTTTTGAAAAATTTTTGTGTGAAAAAGGTGGAAAAACAAAAAGCGGTTTGCCACCGTGCTAGCCCTCCCCCCCCTACGCCCAAAATTAGCGGCAAAAAGGCCCTAAACGACGCGGCGCTTCTATCGACTCAAAAATGCATGGACCAAAAATTCTAAGCCTTTTAAAATTAAAACTAAAGTGAATATTTTAAAAATAGCTTGTTTCAACTTGGTAGAATGGAACGTGGCGATTATAATGAAACCAATCACTAAGAAAACTGACAGTGCGTTCAAAGGCGGTTTTTGTTGGCGACGTTGTGAAAATTTCGGAGTACTAACTTGCCGTTTTTGGCATCATTCGAACCGTAAATAACGACCATGAAATAATTGGTATTGGGTTTCCAATATTTAGTCGGTTTGAAATCGTTATTAGAGCTTTAACTTTTTGATTAAGCGATACGCACGTCTCCTATGGACGCTTTTGCCCCTCCGCAAATGCCATTTTTGGCCTGTTTGACGGGCCGTGCCTCGCCAACAGTCCACGTCTAATTGCATTTTAGCACCGACCCCGAAAAGGTGAAATGCGAATCGTTAGTATTGAAATCGCTTGCAGGTTGGATCTGGACGCAAAGGTGAGTCGGTTGGCGGTAGGGTTCTTATCGACACGGGTCAAAAACAGGGTTCAACGTAAAATTATAATTGTAAAATCCCCGAATTCCAGCCCGTCTACCGACCCAGAGACCTACTAGAAAGGCTGGCTACAAAAATCCGCATCACTGATCAGCTGGAGATATACCGTTCCACTACCGTAAGATTTCAGTCGAAGCTTAAAGAGTGCCTTTTATCATTCTAACCCCCGAAAGTGCGACGCACAAAATTCAATTTGACCATTTGAAACAAAATTCCGGAGCAACGATGTGTTTTTCCACACTACAAATTCAGAAGCTTACGAAGCGCAGAATACTGCCGAAAGGACAGCGTGAAGATTCAGTCAGCATTTATCTGGGGCAGAATTGTGGTGACAACAGTGCAGCGTGGGTGATGCGGAAGGGCTGCCTCAATCCACCGAAAAATGAAAAATGGATAAAAGAATGGCCTGCCGCAGAAGAGCCCACCGACAGCTTGATTCCACAATAATTGTTGTTTGTTGATGTTTCCCGGAGCATTTTTGATAAATAAGATAATTGTATGTAGCCGCGTTCCAAAAAGGACCAAATACGAAAGAAGCATAAAAGGGTCTATGCCTGCATAGTAAAAATAGTTTGATAATGCTTTCGTAGTTTCCGATCACTAAAACAGAGATGTGCGAATTGTATCCATCGAGCCGCACAAAATGGGGAAAAGTACCTGCAACAAAGCGGCTGGAATTTCCTTAGGAAACGCTTTAGAAAATGGTAGTGAAGACAGCATGATGTTTAGCATTCTATGTATTGAAATCGTGTTGGTGCTGAAGAAAATCAATAGCAAAAAAAAATAACATTCTAGAGTATGAAGTGAAAATGCAGAATTCAAGTTATGAATACGATGTAGGCGGTGTTGTGGTGCCCCAGCTGCACCGACGAACGAACCGAGCAGGAGAAGCTGTCCTACTGCAGCCATGCCAACACTTCATCCACGCTCATACTATCTTTACGAAGTGAGTATGCAAAATTCTTGATCAGTGGACTCTTAAATGTCGATAATGCCTTTATTGGGTGTGACGACCCTTATCGATGACGAATACATACTGCAATAAGCAAGTCATACCTCCAACGAATATCACAAGCAAGGGCACCAATATGCAAAAAGTGAGAAATATCATGATGATCGGGGGGAAATTATAAATCAGTGGGGCGGAGAACATCAGAGGGAGGGATCAGGTTCAGCAGCTCATTCATCGTCGAAGACACTTCGGCCATCGACTGACGACAGCCGATGAGGATCAACTGAAAAAATGGTTTTAGAAAGCGCAACCGCGAAAACTTACTTTATGCTTCGGGCGCGTGATCGCGACGTTGATGCGTCGCCGGTCGTTCAACAGCTCGCAACGCTAAAAAGGAAATTCAAAACAAGCATATAAATTTGCTACCGAATCGCCTCTCGTCCACACGAGACTCCAGATGATCACCGACTTGTCGCGGCCTTGGAATTGGTCAACCTGAAGCGAAAAAATTAATAACAGAGCTCCCCAAGAATTGTAGAGCAATAGCCGACTTTTAAAAGGTTAAACATCTCACCGTGTTCACTTCGATGCGGGAATCGCCGATCTGCGAGCGAACGACCTCGACCTGTCGCCGATATGTGCAAATCACGCCAATGTCTGAAGCGCAGACACCAAACTGGAAAATGATGTGCAATGATACGCTGTCGCATACCTTCAGAAATTTTCCGCACATCTCGCCGATGATCGCCGCTTCGTAGACGTTGCTGGTGGCTCCGCGGCCTTCCATCGACATCTAGAAGAACGGGGATCAGAATTATAAAATTTCCCTACTTTTGCATCATCATTTCCGGCCGAATCGGTGTCGACAAACACGACAGAATGCTCGAGGAGCGGCGAGAAAACGAGGGAGATAGACGCTGAAAAAAAACCCTTGAAAGTCGGGTTTTAATTCCTCACCATTTCCGTGGTATTCCGAGATCTGTAGGCGGCCATTGGCCACCTCGTCGGTCGCACATTTCAGCAGACCATCGTAGAACAGTTTGGAGGCGAGCGCGGCAATGCGGCTGAAACGATAATCTGATTTCGTAAAAAACTCCAACCTGTTCATGCGATACTGCGAAGTGAGGCTGGCCTGGGACTCCTTGTGCACCTGCAGTCGCTCGAATAGGGATACGTCCATGCCGAGTTCCCTAAAGAGTAAAATACTGTTTTTGAACCGATACATACTTTGCGTCGCGGCTTTGCACCAAGGGGGCGAGCTGCTTGGCGTCGCCGACCAGTACGAAGCGGGAGCACGCCTGAAATGAAGAAAGGTAAAAACCGCTGAATACCCTACAGAAAGCGGTGCTAATAATGACGATTCGACGGCTAGCGAGGCTTCATCCACCAGGCAGACGTCAAAACGCCGGAAGGAGAACAGCGGATGTGAGCACACGGATAGACACGTTGCGCCGACGACTTTCTAAAAAACAAGCTTTAAAAACACAAGCGAAGAACATTAATGATTCATTTCCAAATCAATGTTTTAAAAACAAGATCTTCCAACACAACAATTAGAAAAACAAATTGAATGCTATATTTCTGGCAATCCGGGAATCAATATGAAACCAAAAGCGCACCACGGAAGTGAGCATCTTCTTCATCGCCTCATAGCGCTCGGTGGTGATGGATTTCAGCTTCTCCTCGATGCAGAGATGAGAAACCTAAAAATAAATAAGTAAAACAAGGGCTTTTTGATCAAACCTTCAGCTTCACCGATTTCGCGTTCCCAATCCGGAGCATGTCATCGGCAGGGATATCCTAAAACACGGATCATGATGCCGATTTATCAAATTCATACATCAAGCAATTTCTCGAACAGGTTGTCGACGGCCGAGTGAGTGTGCGACGTGACGAGGACTGACTTCCCGAACAGCAAGAAGCACTTGACGACGGCGGCCAGGGTTGTGCTTTTACCTAAAAGGTATTTGAAGTTGAAACTGATCATTGTCATACCAGCGCCGGGCAGTCCCTCGATCAGCGTATAATTTTTGCAGATCAGCGCCTTGACAACGGCCCTTGCCTGTTCGCGGCTGAGCTTGGAGAGCAGGGGCTTGATTCTGAAAAATAAACGGTACTGGACTGTTAGCGGGGGCGGGGGTTACGCGGATTTACATTTTCCCTCAAAACATAACGCATTCTTTTAATGTTTTCAGAACTTTTTGATTTTTAGGTAGTTAGAAAAACATTTGTAACGTTTTTGACGTTTTGATGAACAGAATTTTAAGGTTTTTTGGCCATATTTATACCTTTTTGACCGAAAAAATCATCACAAATTTTTAACTTTTCTGGCTTCTTCCAACAAAATTATATTAAGTACTATAGAAATCGTATATATTTCGTTAAAGGGGCTCCGAAATCTGGTCCACGGCCCCCTGCTGTGATTCCTGGCAAATAGCCAGATGCAGCCGCAACGCGACCGCGCCGCATGATCTTTTGCCTCTGTTCGGACGCGAAAACGCTTGAATTTCAAAATTCTGATACTGTTTTTGGAATCCTCAACGAATTTTGATCATTCCAGACTTTTAAATTATGAAAATTGACCCGAGAATCACCGAGATCGAGAGATTGGGTGCCTTACAAGCCATTACGACATGTAATCGCCGCGCACTCAAAATGTCGTTTTTGCCCCAAAAAGAATTCGGTTTTTCTCAAACATTTTACGTTTTTTCGCAATCAAAGCACTTTTTTGGCACTTCTCGGCAGTGACCCTTTCGTTTTTTGACCCGTAGGTTCAATCCCCGCACGCACGAATTATGACTTCTGAGCCCCTTTAAAGGGTCGTACTGGGAAAAATCCCCCGCTAAGGGACCAGTACAATATAAACAAAAAAAAATCTAGAACACCAACCTTGCCAAATCGGACTTTGTAATTTTCCCGGCCTCCGGCACGTCGAGATCGATGATGAAACGCCGGAGGTCATTTCTAAAATAATGTTCTTTTTCTAATCGTAGTGAGAAGCACGCTACCTCAAAGCCTCATCCTGCATAAACCCGGCCACGTTAGCCATTTGCATCGAGTGAGTGGACAACGACTCGATGCGGTCCATCTAAAAAAGATATAGAAAATCGTAGCGTCGAGCTCACAAAGTAGCGCTCCTCCCCCTTCCTGGGCAGCGTGTGATCAGAGGTGATTTCGACGGTATTATCTGAATTGAAAAATGATAGTAGTCATTTAAAAACACCTTTAATCGATGCCACGAAGCCAGTGATGATTCCGTAGCGCTTTTTCGTGGAGATGGCCACCATGTCGCCGGAAGAGATTGCGCCGGTGGTGATGTTGGTCGGCCTGGAATTAGTTTTTTCGAAACGACGCTCCTGATCCGAATTTTTTCGATTTTAAACGGTTTATTAAAATTTATTTCTCTAATTTTTGCCTGCCTATTTTTTTCAACATTGTTTCCTGTTGATCTTGAGGCGCTTTAAGATTCTGATAACTTTGAATTTTTACACGTTATATAAACTTTTAAACTTTTCATCATAGTTATTCGTGTTTTTTTCACCATTCTTTTTCTTTTGCTTTGGTATTTTCATCATTCTTTTCTGCCCTTTTATGTTTTAACTTCGCATCCCGTGCCAAGTTGCTCCGCCGGCCAGAACTGGAATTTCAAATCCAGAAACGCAGTGCTATTTTCAAAATCGACCCCCAAAGTTCATCGGCGATAGCGTTCGATTTATCATTTAAAAACAAAACTGATCGACCTGACGGAACCTCCATCTACAAAGAAAATTCAAGCCGACAAAACAGCGTCTATTAGTGGCAGTTATACATTGGCTTTCATCTCGCCCGTCCCTACGCTCGTATCACGATCTGCACGACCTCTACCAGATGCGACGACGCCGGGAAACGCCCCCAGCTATTCCGGCAGATGCACGAAACGACAAGGCCCTAAACACCGATGCCCAAAGCTGTCATTTCCGTTGCAGAAACAGGCCGACTCACCCCGAACACTGACCCTAAAACCCTGATGAACAACTACCCGTGCCCAGACGGACAGGTACGAGCTCACGGATGCGGATACGAGCCGTGTAATGGTTTCATACCGTCGACTATCACATTTAGCCATGGCACTTCAACCCGCCCACCGCGGCCCCAGCTAGCAGCGACTACAGCGGCTACCCCGCCGCGGCGGCGTACGGCGGCTATCAGGTGGGTTACCTTCTTTTTGGGGAGCCAGCGCAGTTGAGCAAAGGACTTTTGAGCATCTAAAAAGTTGTTGCTCAATCGTGGTTCTCACTTAGTTGACCGGAGCCAACGACTTCAAGCCACGAAAAATTAGTGCCCTAACGGAGTGCCAACCTTTTCGCCTAAACCGATTTCGTCTAAAACCCATTTTGCCTAGATTGTTTACCAATTTTATAGCTGAATTTGGGACCAAAAAACCAACCTCCCGACATCTTTCAAAAAGCTTTATTGATTTCTCACAAATTCTAGAAATGCCGTGTGGAAAGCACCTATTGCAGCCAATTACGTTCATGATCCTTTACAAGGCTTCAAATTAAGATTTTTCAAGAAATATGCCGATCTTTAAAAATGATAAAAACAATGGTAAAGCTACCAAAAATGGTAACATTAATCTCGCTCGGTAAATGGCCAAGATACAGGAGGTTATTGGAAAAGCGGGGGTTTTTTGGCGGTATGGGTTTAGGCGAAGTGACCGGAAATGGCTCAAAGGTCGTTCTCATTCCGTTCCTCAATTTAGAGCAACGATTTTGAGCAACTAAAATGTCGTTGCTCCAAAGAGGTTAGCAATTATTTTCTCCCAGCAAACGATTTTGAGCAAGTCAAAACATCGTTTTTCTAGTGGCTCAAACGTCATTTGCTCAACTGATCTGGCCCCTTTTTCACGCGTTTCCGCAAGCGCGCGCGACCAAGCGTTCGCCAATCCATCATCGGGGGCCCTAGATTCGAACGCCCAGCCGGGCAGGATTTTCCCTTTTTTGATCGCGAACACGTCCGTTCGCGCCTTTCCTCTAAAACTGAACCGGAAAATTGTTTCGTTGCCTAGTTCCTGACCCCCGGCTACGCCCCCTGCGCCCTACCGACGCCCGGGACCGCCGCCAACGCCGAGTTCCTGAGGCCTAACTTGGGCGCTCCGATGCCGAACGCGGAGCCGCCGACGGCGGTAAGCCAACCCGAGCCCGCAGCGGCTCATAATGACGAAAATATGCCCATTCAATCATCGAGGACCCCGGCCGAGCTGCAGGAGCTGTCGTCGAAGCGCCACGAGGTGCTCACCGTACAGTGTAAGGTAAGGAAGCGAAAGTAAGGTGCTTTAGCATTATGGGGGGTCCGGGGGTTTCGTACCCAATTGTTCCCTAACAGTCCAGAAATACCTATAAATGTAATAGTTTGTATTTTAATGGTGTTTTTCGCAAATTTAATTAGTTTTCGAAAGGAAAAATCACAAAAAACCTAGCTTTGGTCGAAAGTCGGCCATTTTGCTCGGAATCGATGGTCTTGTGCTTTTTGATAAAAAATTTGAAGCTTTCTGCGTTTAGGAATCGTAAAAACAGTCTAAAAACCCAACCCTGTCAATATATTAGAAAAACGGGACGCAAAAAATCGTTTTACATGCTTTACAAAAACTACGAAATTAATTACAAAAATGATAAAGCGAAAGCGGCAAAAGTGAACCTCCATTTTCTAGCGTCTAAAGCGATAAAAAATTTTCTTAATTAATATCCTAGGTTTGCAAAGATCTCCACTTCAACTCCGAGCACTTGGCCATGGTTTTTGTGCATTTGCTGCGCCACGACAAGTCGATCGGACGGTGAGTTGCGCGAGATTGGGCCTACTGATGCGCCAAATTCCAGCGTTTACTGCTACCAATGCGGGGAGACGTTTATGCGCAAGGACAAATGCAAGGATCACCTGAGAACGCGATGCCCCGAAGGCCACATGGTCGTCAGGAAGTGAGTTGCGTCCCCGGAAGCGGTGCTTCTCCTTTAACGGGGAGGGCTATTTTTTATCTTTCCCGTCAAATTTAATGACGAATTTAATTAATTTAATTTAACAAAAATTATAACTTTATAATGCCGAAAATTATAATGTCGACATTCAGAATGTCGAATCTGATAAGGCCCGAAATTGATATAAGCTAATTTTCCCGGAAAAATCGCCCGAATCACCATGTAAAAAATTCGACATTCCGAGTTTCGACATTCTGAATTTCGGCAGTATGATCCCAAATCTAATCAATCGTTGTTTGTGTGTTTGTTAAAAAGTTTTTAATAGTTTTTCAGTGCTAACGTTATACAAATATTTTAAACATCCGGGAAATTTCCAAAAATTTCGACGCTTTTTGGTAACTTTAAATAGTTTTTACCCAAAAATTCAAAAAAATTTCGAATTTTTAGTTTTTATGGCTTTTTATATCCAAGAATAGTTAAAAATATTTGTATTTGGTTATAAAGCCGTAGGAACTTATTGGGAGCCCCCCGTTAAACGAGCAGAACCCACGATTCATTATCGCTGAAGATCAGAATTGAAAAATCTACATTTAGCGACAACGACTACAAGACAGTACTGCGCCAGTGCATCGTCAAGTACTTTCCCGAGATGGAGAAGCGGCTGCTCGACCAGCTCGAGTCGGATCTGCGCCGGCCGCGCTATCAGGACGACCGGCTGAACCAAAAGCTGAAGCAGGACGACAAGAAGATTGACTGCCAGGTGAGTCGCGTTTCCCAATGGAAAATTTTCCCTGGGATCCTTTTTTTCCAATTTCAATAGAGAAAGCGTGAAAGTGCACCTCTTTTTAATATTCCTAAACCTAAAAGCTCCAGAATTCCAGATGACAAAAATACAAAAATATTGATTTTTCAATAAAATGGGCCTTTTTCCACAAAAATCGCAAAAGTTTTGAAAATTTTCGAAATTTTCTAACCAGTTTTTCCACTTGAAATATAGAGATTTTCGAGAACGATCTCTAAGATCTTGCGACCGCAAACAAGCCCCAAGTCTCGAGATTTCTAGATTTGCAAGAAAACTGTCAAAAACTACTCGGCTAACAAGAATCACCACGCCAGGACGCATATGTCGAGGAGGCGGTATCGATGTCCGGGCTGTGATAAGGTACGTTTTCCTGGCAAAAAAATTTGGGATTCTTTCGCATTATCGGGGGGGGGGGGATCTTTTATCGCGACCCAGTTTTTCTACGATAAATTGAGTAAGTTAAGCTGTTTTTACTATTCCTAAACGGAAAAACGCTACAAATTTTGGTAAAAAATTATTACGCTACTAGACATCTCTAGACTTAAAGGAAAAAGTCAGTCCCCCCCCCCGATAATGCAAAAGAACCAGAACTGAGAGTGAGACAACACAAAAAGATCGTTTTTTAATGTTCTAGAGCTCCCATATGAAGGACAACCTGAAGGTGCACAGCATCAAGAAGCATGGCAAGCAACTCGAGATCATAGATCAACAGTGGGTGCAAAAAAGTGTATTTGGTTTTTGACAAAAGGAAAAATTTCGTAAAATGAAAAATGAACGTTTTGGAAAATTTGGAAAGCAAAGAATGCAGAAATCGCGAGTCGACTTTTAGTAGCCAAAATTCACGTAAAAAACTGCTAATTAAAAACGTAGAGACGAAGCCCTGGAAGCTGAGCACCAGCGGATCTTGAACGACTGCTTCCCGAAACCGCCGGCCGCCGACTCGGACGAGGAGGGCGAGCCGCAGGACACGAGCACCACGCTCAACGATTCGGGATATGAGGTGCGTTGAAAAGCAAGCTTTCAAAAGCCGTCAGCTACGGGCAAAGGCCATTCGCCGAAATTTTTACCATTTTCATAGCTGATTTTGCGACCAAAAAGTCACAAATTTTCAAAAATTTTATAACTTCAAAATTCGAAATTTATAGGAAATTTTATTGATTAAAACATAGAAATTGCTTGTTAAAATCATTTATTAAAGCAATTTACAAGCATGTAAATCAAGAAGTACGAAAAGTAACTTTATAAATGGACAAAACCTTAAAAAATCTCAAAAATTTCGAATTTTTTGGTTACAAATGCAGTTATAAAATGGTCAAAAAATTAGGCGAAGTGATCTGAATTCTACAGCTAGCAAAGATCCCTTGTGAAAGACTACAATATTCGAACACCAATTCTAGAGTCACAACTCGTCGCGCCGCCAGTCGCTCGGAGGGAGCAGCAGCAGCAACAGTAACAACAGCGCCACCAGCAACCCAGCACCCAGCCAGCCATCGCCGTTCTGGCCGATATTCTACGGCTTTCAAGCGATACCGCATCCCGGCTTTCCGCCAATACCCCCAGGGGCCCCCAGCTACAATTGAAAATGCTTGCTTGCTTTCACTCGATCTCAACGAACGTCCAAATGCATCCCAACTAGGAGATTTCATCGTTATGGTAAGTGGGGAAAATTAAAACGGAGAGAGCGATAGAGAGAGAGAGAGAGAGCGAGAGCAAGGAAAAGTGCACTTTAGCCATATCGGAGGGGGATTTTCCTACACGTACAAAAATACCCAGTCATATAAAAAGCCAGCATTTTAATCGTATCTTTGTAACAAGATAGCCCTAATTTTAGTTGGAAAAAATTAAAAAATTAGAAAATGCTTAAAAATTGACGTTTTCTTGTTGACGAAAAATCTAATTTTTTGCAATTTTTTACTACATCCGTATTTTTTTACGATAGAGAGAGAGAGAGAGAGAGAGAGAGAGAGAGAGAGGGAGGAGGGAGAAATCCCAAAATTTCAGGCCTCCAAATCCCCATTATCACCTCTCAAACACGAGCAGACTTCGGCCGCCAGCCGCCGCTTTCTCCACACGCCCTAGTCGCAGATCTCCCACGCATGTGCCACGCATTTCCCTGTAGATTTGATAGATGTTGATAAAGTTTTTTTGTTTGTTTTACCGAGCCTCCGGAGCCATCGTCCAGATCAGCGACGGGGTGGCCGACTTGCTTTGCGCAGTTTTGAGCTCCAGCGTCAGCATGTGCATCCATTTCTAAAAAAAGAGTTACATCTTTACACAATTTATTTACATTTATGTATAAAAAAGATTTACGATATCTACAAAACCAAAAAATAGCTTTAAATCTAATTAGATAAAAAAAGCTTCCAGCATATTTTTCGGCATTCTCAAAATTTGGGCATCCTCGCTAGCTATCCGTACCTTAAAATACGCAGCATGCGCCGGCTTCAAATAGGCTGCACTCGCTTCGGCAAAAGCCGAAAACTGCGCGCTGACTTTCTAAAGCAAAAATGTTATATAAAAAGTAAGACGTTACTTGAGTCCCGCCGTAGTCACCATATAACGAACAGGCCATCGCGTGCTCGCAGCGGCCGCAAGGTCTTGTCTCGGTGAGGGGTTCTAAAAATAACAATATAGTCAACAAAAGCATACAAATAACACTTCAAATGATTTTTTTACAATTCCTCAACGTAAAAACTTTACAAAATTTTATTAAAAAGGACAAAAAATATTCTTTTTCAACAAAAAAGGCCGATTTGCGAGCAAAATTTAAACTAAGAATTTTTCAAAGATTTTTTGCTTGTTTTTCCAACTAAAACACAGCCACTTCTACTGGAAAAAAGACGATTACGTTGCTTGGCATTTCTGAACTCAAATGAAAAAAAATTATTTTCTCTCGACACCTTCCCCCGCTAATGCCAAAGAACCAATAATAAATCATAACAATTAATTTACCGGGCAATTCGCGGGCAATATCCCCCAACTGGCCGGCGATCCGGTTCCTCACGGAAAGAATACCCTTCAAGTCGATTGCCCTAAAAAGGATCATAGCCTGAAAGTGACAAATTACTTTGGCTCGATATTCCTGGCCACTCCGTCTTTCAAGTAGAGTAGGGAGGCCGGTCGAATTGGGGATGCTTCGGTGATCGAGAGCATCAGCGAGTAGAGGAGGACCTGAAAAGACCCACATTCTTTGTGATCAGAAAATACCTGAAGTGAGTGTTCGTGCGACGCTCCACTTCGTCCAGTTTTCAGCTCCAGCGGCTCCAAGTACGAGGTGCCGTTTTTCTACAAAACACGTGTTTTTACACCGTTTTCTAAATTCCGTTCATTTTCTTAAAAATAATTTGTCTTAAATTCTTGTTTTTACTTTCAAAGAGCCTAAGAAACGATTGTCGGGTAGGTAAATAAAAATAAAACACATTTTAAATCTAGAAAAACTATTCTAAACCCCGTAAAAACTCCAGAAAATTTGCTAAAAAAATGTCAGATTTTCGATACCAAATTTGAGCATTTCAACCATTTTTTGAGGTTTTCTAAAGTTTTTTTGCACCCGAAATATAACCAAATTTGCAATAAAAGATTTTTAGATCAATTCTGCATTTTCTTTGATAAAAAAATTACGTTTAATTTACAGTAAAATTTACTTGTACGCGCAACGTGGCGTCGATCTTGCCCTTGATGCCGAGCTTCGGCAGCCAGATGTTCTCCTCGATATCGGCCACCTGGCTGACGGTGGCTCCAGAAGGCAGCGGACGCCGCTGGGCCATTTTGTCCCTCACCCACTGGCAGATGATCTGAAAAAGAATGTTTCCTGTTTTCCAAAAAAGCACCTACGTTTACGTAGGGGTCCAGCTCGGCCTCAAATGTGCTGGGCGAGAAATTGAGAGCGACGAGAGCGACGAGTGCAGATGGATCTTCGTCGATTGATGTGCGCCATCTTTTTAGAAGCCACTCGCCGGTGACGGTGCCCGGGGGCTGCTGGATGGCCGTCTGAAAGTGGAAAAAGGTCTTTTTCGCAATGTCCGGCGGGCTTGGAGCCGAATTACTCTCCAACACGCAATAGTTAGTAATTTAAGTGTTTTAGGGCATATATGTTATCTTATAGGATAGAATTATTTAGTCTATTCCACGTGGAAAGCCATCTAAATACGTAGAATTTTCTGCAAATGTGTAATTTTAGGTAAAAATCTATATAAATCGCTTGTTATAAAAACTTATAAAGTTTTTTACTACTTTTTTTTGTTAACTAATTATATCAGAAAAATTGGGTTCTAAAGAAAAATTGGTCTACGTGACGTATTGTGAAAGAATCGGAAAAAATATTCTAAAAAACACACCTGGAAAAGGTCATGGATGATCGAGCCCATGAACATAGCCTTGTTGGTGCTGTTGCCGCCGCGGAATCGGTCGCCGAGCACGGCTTTTCGCTGGCAGAACAGGGCCTGAAAAAAAAAAACTAAAAAAATCCTTGAAAACGGTTTACCTGTGAAACGGATGTTGCAGAAACAAGTGTATCCGGTTGCGTGATAATCACTCCATGCTCAGCGTCCACTATCCAGTCCTAAAAGTCCAGATTGCAAAACTGATTGCCAATTTTTACGTTCTGCTTCCAGCGCTGGGCATCAAAAATTCGAATTGTGTCCCCGGCGACAATGCCCAGCTCGGCCCATTGGTCTTGAAGGTAGGCGAATGATTGCTGGTGCGTCTTCAGGTCGATACAGCTAAAAAAAACGCAAAATTAGCTATTACAAAGACAGAATAATCCTAAACAAAAAAAAACTCACTCCAAAATGGCTTGTCCTCCAGTGACGGTCGCCGTTTGCACAGATAGCGTCACTCCGTCCAAATCGTAGAGCGCGGGGAACCCCGGAACGCCGCTTTCTAAAGAACTTCTTTGCTAGAATAGACGTACAAAAATACCTAATGGGAAAAACCGGGCCGGCGATCGCTTTTTTGGAGAGATCCGAGATTTCTTTGTTGGCGGCGAGTCGAAGGAGTCAAATGAATCGAAGGAATCCTTGCTCGTCGCATCTCCAAGATTAGACGTGATCAGTGCCGGAGAACGCTTCTTTGGTGCTTGCTTCTTTTGCGGCGAGTCGAAGGAGTCGAATGAGTCGAACGAGTCTTCTTTGTTGGTGACATCTTCAAAGAGGGCCCGGCTTCTGGGTCGTTTTGGCGCGTTGGATGCGGGCTGAAAGGCAGTTTTTCATCGGGTTTCATCGAGCTCTCGTGCGAAGCTACTTTCGGCGACAGTTGGCCACTATTTTCCAGTTTTTTTTAGCTCGGCCATAAGAAGTACAACGTAAAGGTTCTTTCGCATTATCGAGGGTACCAACTTTTTTTTTCAAAGGATCCAAATGTTCTAAAACAAGAGCGAATTTGTTCTGCACTGTTTTTGCTATTCTCAGCGTAGAAACGTTAAAAATCTTCACTAAATATTTAAAAAAAAACAGCCGTTTCGAACAAAAATGCCCAATTTTCGACTAAAAAGTTTCATTTTTCCGCTTGAAATAGAATTATATTTACTAAAACATGCCATTACTAACCATTTCTAGATTTAGCGGACACATTCGGTCCCCCGATGATGCGAACGAACCTTTAAAAATGCACAGACCCTTAGACACTCCTCATCCGAGAAACTCGTGCTCGCCACATCGGCCATCCGGAAAACGTGGAGCTTCTAGTATTGGGTCGGAAGTCGGAGCCGAAATCGCACTAAACGCAAACTTTTCAGGGAGTAAGCAACCGGCGGGAAAGCGGCTCTTTCGAATGAGCCGGCGCCCTTGGCTTATCGGCCACGAAAACCCCCCAATCCCTTTGTTTGGCTCTACAACGATTTTTGTGTATTTGAAGTTTGTGTAACTTTATGTATTTGCCTTGAAATAGGTTCTGCCGAATTCTTTATTATAGCCTCAAACGAGCACCAACATAAAAATTTGCCAAAAAGTTAGAAACGCAAAACCAAAGCAAGTCAATTAGGGGAAATTAGAAAGCTTTCAAAGCTAGAGGATAAGCAAAAAGGAGCGGGATCGGGCATGTACAAATTGATAAAATAACAAACAGAAAACCGTTTCACTGGAGCGGGGGGGGGTAAAAATCCACTCACTGGAACATCTTGCGGCTCTCCTGGAACTTCTCGCGAGACTTCTTGCGCTCGTCTTCTATCCGCTTGCGCTCCTCCTGCTCCTGGCGGATCTCCTCTTCGTAGGCGGACTTCTTGTTCAGCTCGGCGATCTGAAAAACACAGTTGACAGATTGGTTTTTAGGCATTATCGGGGGGAGGCAATACTTTTCCTAAAAGTCCAGAAAGGCCTATTGACGTAATTGAAAGAGTCCTAATGCTTTTTTCGAAAAAATAAATCATTTCAAGAGGCAAAACGATCAAAAAGCTAAGGCACATTTTTGAGGTGGTTTTTGGCTGCTCAACCTCAGCTTGCAAGGAGGTTGGAAAAAGCGGAAAAGCCATAAAAACCCCGAAATTTTGCTAAAAAATCGGCCATTTTGGTCTCAAAACTATTTTTTTGTGTTTTTGATGAAAAATTTTCAGTTGTACGTTTAAGAATAGCGAAAAAAAACAACATTTTAGAACTTCCGCTATTTATATTCAAGAATGGGACCCTCAGAAAAAGTTGCTCCCCTTGATAACGCGAAAGAACCGACAAATTTAATGAAAAACGAACCTTCGCCTCGAAGAAGTTTGCGGCTGCTCCCACACCCTCCTTCGTCACGTCGATCGAATCGGCAAGCTTTTGGAAAATCTAAAAAAAAGTGAAAAGATGAAGATGCCACCATTAACTGACCTCCGAGCTGACGCCAAGTTCTCCGGAGGCGGCGTGCTTGAAGATGAGGAAGAATTCGCGCAGCGAGATCTTGTTGTCGCCGTCCTCATCGACCTCAAAATCTCCAACTTTCTAGACGAAAACAAGGACCAAATCTAAAGAATGAAAACCCACTTTCTTGATGATCCCTTTGAGGGTGATGTGCGTCTGGGCCTCGCCGAGGGCTTCCATCATGCGCTTGAGCTCCATAAAGTCGAGAAAGTTGTCGTTGTCCTCGTCGAATCTAAAAAAAACAATGTTAATGGCTACAACCCGAAGAACGGGCAATGAAAAACATGAAGTTTTCAAAAACCTACTTTTTGAACATGTCTTGGAAGTGCTTGATCTGCTTGCGGGAGAACTGCGGGAACTCCTGGTACACGGACAGCTTGGTGTTGACCCGAGGCTCGACATGCTCACCTAAAAAAACGTTGTTAAAATACTGCAAAGTTGATTTCCCTTGTCTGGACCATTTTTAGTACGTTTAAGTTCAATCTACCGTAAAAAGGCTCTAAATATACCATTTTTACTACCCTTCAAACCAAGATCTATCGCAAAAAGCCCATAATTATACCAGTATCGACCGCAAAGCCAGCAGAATCCATTGTAAAGAAATTCGTTTTTAGAAATAGAACAATGGCAGACCGGGGGGGCAGTGTGGCCGGGAATAATGCAATCGGTGAATCACTTTGTTTTCGACAGATCAATGGACTGAGGTCGGGGAGGACGGCCAAAAAAAGCCTATTCGAACGGCAATGGCGTTCTCAAGAATGAGAAGCGCTTTTCGCAGCCGGGTATTTGAGCAAACTTCAAAATCCTCCAAAAACCACCAACCAATCTTGATAAACTTCTGTTGGCTGACCAGCGCCATATTTTCGTGTGTTGTGGGCGTAACTGAGCGACTTGCTATGGGCGTGTGGGGGGGAGATCGCGAGCGACTTTCCGGGCAAGTTCTCACCAACCGACTATCCGACGACTAAAAAAGGGGATTAGTGGAGGACGAGAGCGAATAATTGCGTCGAGGAAATGGAAATAAATAGGGGTGAAGGGTATTCTAGAAGAAGAAAAAAAAACAGTACTAGTACAAACCAAACTACGAAGTGAAGGACAAAGAGGTATGATAAAAACTTGTTATTAAAAATTGTATTTTATTAAAAGCTTTTATATTTTTATTTTATTAAAAAGCCTTAAAAACGTGTTCAATGGCAAGCTACGTATAAAGGTCTATCCGCGAGGAATTGGTCCAATTCCGCGGGGGCAGTCTGCCAGCCAAAAAAAAGTCAAAAATTACACAAAGCAGCCAGTTTCACGAAAAACAAAGGGTATTACGGGGGAGTGGAGGGTGAGGAGGAAGGAGGAGGAGTCGCGGGCCGGCCAATTTGAATGGCGGAATGAGGCCGGGGGGCACCAATGGCCTTCTTTTTTGGTGGCTACTGGGTGGCGCAATGGGTGGCTGCTGACCGCTAGAGTAGCCCCCGGGGTCGGGGCCCATGTGATGAAATGGAGGCCACGGTAGTGGGGGATGACAGAGTTTAGAAGCCTGAAGAAAATCGGGGTTCTTGCGCATTATCGGGGGGAGGTGGGACCGAAATTTTTTGTACTAGGGTAGAAATGTCGAGTAACTGAATGGGAAGTGTTTTAATAATATTCTTAGTAAAATATAACTAGAGTTGAACTAGAACAACTATCTAAAAACCATAAACATTTTTTGAAACCACCATTTTTGGTCGAAAAAGCGATGTTTTTTGATATATTTAATGAAGGCACCAGTTTAGCAACACTACATATCTGACAAAAAAATTAGCCCCCCGATAATGCGAAAAAACCAAAATTTGTAGAAAGTTGCAAAAAAGTGCAGAAAGTGGCGTTTCAGATTTCAGACGTTCATAAAAAGGTATTTCCAGGAAAAGTCCCCCCTTCTAACGGACCGGAAACCCGATTATAATGCTTTCTGCACGCTGTGAAAGCGCTGAAAAGGGCGATAAAACCAAACAAAATTGAGGCTATTGATTAGAAAGTCGGAAACCTGCAAAATATCGCAAAAAAAAGCCGATAGTTTAGAAGGTTCTTTCGCTCTCAAAATCAAGAATTAAAAAAGTGCGTCTTCTCCCCACGCGGCGGAGTAGCGGATTTTGATGGCTTTTTTATTCGAAAAACGTTTTCCCAGTTTAAAAATTTATAAAAAGGAGGAAATAGTTAAAAAATCATCGCCGAAAAGTAAAGCAAGGAGTGCTCAACTTCCTAGGGCGGCATATGGTTTCGAGGGAAGTGCCCGGGCAAGCCGGGGGGTTTTGGCGGGCGTGTTGGTGTCGGCCAGTCGGTCTATCCAGCCCTTCTTTCTTTCTTTCCCGCAAGGGTGCACAGGGGCTTATAGCCGACCGGATGAATGGGTAAGCGGCTTGGTAGCCCCCCGCCCAGTAGCGTCTCCATTTCAAAAGCCGCTCATCACGCGCCGGGCGCGCGCCATAGTCGTCGCCTGGCAATAATACGAGGGTAAATATATGAGCGTCGAGAGGCTAACACCAGCCGTTCGGAGGTATGATTCGAAAAACGGGAATTAAAGGGGGTCGGGCAGCGAGAAATGGTTTCTTCGAAAACCAGAACCACGATTTCTAGATTATTTTTTTCCGATTTTTAGGGCCAAAAATCATAAATCGCAAATCGCAAAACGTTTTTCCAGCGTTATTTCGTATCGTAACCATTTCGAATGTATTGAGAAACCTGTTAAAAAGCACAAGGAGCTCGGAGACTAACGGAAGTTGGAATCTAACAAAAAAAATCTAAGTTTTCTAGCACCTGTTCCCAATTTTTGACATAGAGTCGGAATCTATGGCGGGAAAACAACTTTTTGGGGGTGGTAACAACGTTACGCAGACCGGATATGTATCATCTGGCTCGTCTTGTCAATAAATAGCCGGGCCAGTCGACAGGTGGACTTTTTGGTGGATGAGTCGGTACCGGCGGGTTAGGCCCGGGAAACAAGATACCGTGACTCATTTTGGAGTGTTTTACCGGGTCTCAACGTTAAAAAGATTAAAATGAAGGGGTGGGGAAAAGAAACGAGTCATTTCTAAGGGTTTTTTTAATGACAATTATGACACAAAATAACGTTTGAAATGTTTTACCGGCTTCAAACGATTAGAGGAGGTGATCAAAAAAAGAAATAGGTAATTTCGGGGTTTTTAATGAAACTTATGACAGGAACTAATGTTTTTTAAATGTTTTTAATTCACCGGGCTGAAACGTCAAGATGAAAAGATGGGGAAAACACGCGAAAAAACACTGTTTCTAGGATTACCCAGCACGTCACGGGGAAAGTAGCAGAAAAAAGGAGTTTTTAATGAAGAAATATTGCAAGATTTTTGATAATTATGACATAAATAAAACAATCTAGAGCGTACTAGCCGGAATCGTGCGAATGGACTCTCGAGGGTTGTCGCGGTGGTCTCGGCGACTCCCCGGGGAGATAATGGGATATGCATAGCCCGAGGGGCACCCATTGACACACAATCAATCGAATCCCCCTGGGGGGATGACCTTGGAATTCACGCGATTCTATCCACGTTACGCAACGCCAATTCATTTGAATTTTTGGAGGATGGTCAAGGCCGCCTTTCGCAGCGTGGGACCGAATGATCCCTGCTATTTTTGCTTAATCGTGCCGACTAGGAGGCGCCAGAATCTACCCCTTCCGTTGACTAGGTATCGACAGTTACGCAAAACTCCAAAATACGCGACAAATCTCATCCGTATCCCATGGTGATGTCAGCTTGAACCAAAAATCTCACTTTTTGGGGGTGGGCTAAGGGCTGCTCTCGCAACTTGGCTAGCGATTTTCCCACTAGTTCGACTGAATTCCGGCTACTTTAAGGGGACTACAAAAGGCGGAATTCGACCCTTCCATCGTCTAGGTCTAGACAGCTGCGCTAGATGCCAAAAGTCGAGTACGTCCGCTTTTCATGACATCTAAAGTCGTGCGGTTTTCAAAAAAATAGAATGTCGATCCTTGCGTTCTTTAGAGTCTCGCGTAGCTGTCGAGACCCAGTCTATGGAAGAGGTCGATTCTCGCGCTTACTACGTCCTTACAACTAATTAGAGACAGTCTTGCCACCCACCTTCCAGAATGCGATTCCTCCTCTCGAGCGCCTCGGCCAGCTGCTTCTCCGCGTCGACCGGGGGCTTGGGGGCTGGCTGAAGAATTTTTATATGGGTTTTTCTCGAGATAATTCTCGTTCACGATTTCTCTCTTTCTCTCTCTCTCTCTCTCTCTCTCTCTCTCACTTTCCCGCTCTCTCACCTTTGCCGGCGGGCTCATAGGCGGTGTCGGCGTATGCGTTATCGTTGGCGAAAGTGGTAGGCCAAGTGGGGATAGGCATTGCTAAATAAAATATTGTACTCTCTCACTCTTGCTCTCTCTCTATCTATCTCTCTCTCTCTCGCTACGAAATTTACCGGTGGCGGAGATAGCGGAGATTTCGGAGGAGGAGGTGGAGGTCCTACTGGGAGCGTCTACAGTAATTTCATGTACTCTAAAAGCTGAGGTTTGGCTTACAGGTGCTTCCCGAGGCGGCTGCGGTGGTGGGCAAGCCGGCTTTGGTGATAATTGCACTAAAAATTCGGATTATAGATGCTGGAAAGCCAGGAATCGACCCTTCCATCGCCTAGGTCTCGACAACTACGTGACACGCCATCAAACTCAGGTTTACACGTAATTCATGCGTAGCTGTCGAGACCTAGTCGATGGAAGGGGTGGATTCTTGGGACGTTTAAAGGGAGGATGAGATCTCGATTTCGGCAAAAAGTTCTTTATAGGGCCAGCTTTTACCTGATAATGGGGTGACATGCGCGTAGGCGGCTGGGGGTGGAGGTATCGGGCTGGAAGGAGGAGGAGGAGGTGCTCCTGAACGTCGCGTTGCATAAGAATGGGCGAGCGATAGACGGTGAGAGAGAGCGAGAGAGATAGAGAGAGAGAGAGAAAGAGAGAGAGAGAGAGAGAGAGCGATAAGTGAATTTTCGAAAAATCTCACTACTCTGCGCGATGAGAGCTGGCGGCGGTGGGAGGACGGGCTAAAAAGTTGGAGGTTTTGCAAGAATGAAAAATGTTCGGCTTCAAACTGGCTCCGTAGAAATCTCGAGCTTACCTTGGCAGTAGCTGGAGGAGGTGGCGGAGCCGGAGGCAATGTGGAAGCTTCTAAAAAAAGTTAGAACTTTGATAATTTTGTTCGGGCTGACTCTATCTCTATCTCTCTCTCTCTCTCTCTCTCTCTCTCTCTCTCTCTCTCTCTCTCACCTCCTCCTCCTGCTCCCTCAATCAGCAACTCCCCGATCAACTCGTCTAGGCTCTGCTCGGGTTTTGCTGGGGCTGGTGGAGGCGGGGGCGATGGAGATGCTTCCTTGACACCAGACGACTGAAAATTGAATTTCGTTAGGGCTCTCTGCTATCTTGCCCTTTCCATTCCCAAATGATCTCTGCTAGCCTGCCCCTTCCATTCCCAAATGATCTCTGCTAGCCTGCCCCTTCCATTCCCAAATGATCTCTGCTAGCCTGCTCGTTCCATCCTCAAATCATCTCTACTAGCCACCCTGACTCCTGTGAATTCCCCAA